TGGCACTTTCCTGTGGTTAAAGATAATTTGTGATCCTCACAACAAACCTAGGAGGTAAGTTCTAATGGTATTATTATCCCCTGTTTGCAGATAAGACTTAGAGAGGGTATGTGCCTTGCTCATATTCACATAGCCAATAAGGGTTGGTGGTGGAATTCTAGGAAACCCAGGTCCTTCTTGACTCCAGTGACCTTTCCTTCACACCACATTGGTTTTCAGATCACATTAGCTTTTCTGGCAGTCATGTCGCACTGTTGCTTTGTATTAAGTTTTCAATCCACTAAAATAGTTATTTGTGTTACATCTTATACTGGTGAAATTTATGTTTTCTAACCTGAGCATAAGTCTTTACATTTGTCCCTATTACATTTTGCCATATTATTTTTGGACCATCATTCCCACCTAGATCTTTTTGGGCCTTTATGTAATCATATGTGTTAAATGTATTTCCTAGATTCATGTCTACTTGTAAGTCAGCAAGTATTTATTAAGTGCTTCCTGTGTGTGCCAGGCACTGTGTTAAATGCTAGGAGTAGGAGCAGGTAGGTGGCGCAGTGGATAGAGCACCAGCCCTGAAGTCAGGAAGACCTGAGTTCAAATCCAGCCGCAGACTAAACACTTGACACTAGCTGTGTGACCCTGGGCAAGTGACTTAACCCCAATTGCCTAAAAAATAAAAAAAATTAAATGCTAGGAGTATGAAATATATTAAGAAAGACAATCCCTTTCCTCAGGGGCCTTACATTCTAATGGGGGAAGACAACACATAAAAGGGGAGGTAAGAAGGAAAGGGGGTTGGGGAGTGGGAAGAATGTACCTGGGGCAGGGATATAGTGACCTAGTATAGAAATACGGGATGGCTGGTCTGGGCCCTTCCCCAAAATGGAAGTTCAGGGAAGAACTAAAAAATGAGGAGGTGACATGTAGGAGCAAAGTCAAGAGGCACCGGAAGCACAGTCGTGTAGTCTGGAGTACTACAGTGTGTCGATTGTGAATTTAATAACCATGCCATGTATGCCTTCATCTAGTCTGCTGCTGAAAAGGGCCAGTATATGCTTCAACAGGTACTACCAAGTGGGAAAGGATTTCGTTATTGGACAGATGATGTCTAATGACTCAGGACTAGCCCAGCTAAGCCTGGAGAGATTCATTTCCAGAGAGTTGAATATGTAGTGGTGATGGGGATTATTTTGGCCACAGCAATTGATGAAAATCAACTACTAAGGTTTAAAGAGGTTTCTGTCTATGTTCATGGGCAGCTAGGTGGAACAGTGGATAGAGCACTGGGCTCGGAGTCAGGAAGACCTGAGCTCAAATCCAAATACTTCTTAGCTGTCTGACCCTGGGCAAGTCACTTAACCTTGTTTGCCTCAGTTTTCTAATATGTAAAACAAGCTCAAGAAGGAAATGGCAAACCACTCCACTATCTTTGCCAAGAAAACTGCAAATGAGGTCACGAAGAGTTGGACCCAACTGAAGTGACTGAACAACAACATCTATGTTTATAGAGAGAAGTATCCACACTGGTGAAATCACAGGTTTTTGAAATATGTTCTAGATATCCATTATAATTTGTGCTGAGATCAAATTATTTCTTGTAGACGTTGAACAGTTAAAAATACAGTCTGAGTGAGGCCTGGGAACCTTGCCTGCAGAGGCTTTAAGCCTTCATGAATCCAGATTCATCCCAAGTTGGTAGATGAGACTCCAGGTCCAGGGGAGGGGATAGACTTTTTTCACTTTCTGGCTTGTTGCCTTTTATCTGGAGGACTCTGGAGAATTGTTGAAAATAAAGCTTAGCTATGGCTTGTGTATAAGGTTCCCCCCTCCCCCTCCCCACCTACCCAAAGTGACAAGGCGTAGTGATATAGTCTGGAGAATTACAATGTCAATTGTGAATTTCATATATGCCTTTATCTAAGCCATTGCTTCAAAAAAAAAAAAAGGTTCCCTTCTAGAAAAGGTACAGTGCTTGCTGGATCTAGAATCATAGGACCTGGGTTCCAATTCTGGCGTTGCCACTTACTACTCTCTGTCTGACCCCAACTTGACCTGAACACTTAATCTTTCTAGGTCTCAGTTTCCTCAGTTTTTACAAATTTTTACAAATCAGAAGGTTGAACTAAGTGACCTTTAACGTGTCTTCCAACTCTAAATCTTGAGCATAGGAGTGTTGAAGTTACTGATGATGTCTCTCATGAAAAAGGCAAGGATTCTAGCACAGCATGGGCTGCATTTGCTGTAGGATGAGGGATAGCTTGGGAGAGGGCATGAAAGGTGGAGGAGGGAATTGGGATTCCTAAGTACTGAGATGGCATAGGAGAAAGTGGCAGGACAGGTTATTGGGTGAATGATGATGATAAAGTTGTGAATAACACGTGTTTGCAGTGGTGAGCGAACAGAGAAGGGTAAGTCTCACTGTCAGTAATAGTGAGGAGAGAAGAGGACATCCTATGGCCATTTCACGTGTCATCTTTGAAGATAAATCCTCAGCAGGGTAGCCATTTATATAAATACCTGGCTAAATTCATAAGAGGCAATCCTAAGGGGTGTGTGTGTGTGTGTGTGTGTGCCTAGTCAGGGCTGCCAGCCTGTACTTGAAATGCTTTCTGTTGCTATAGACCTGATCAGAATTCTCACCAGGGGTGAAGCATATGTCTTAATGAAGAATTGCTAAAACTATCCAGTTACTCTGGTTTTCTAGTTTTTTAGTTGCATGCCTAATTTTTTTTTACCTATTCCTTCTTTCTTTTGTTGATGAATATATTTAGAGGTCTACATTTTTCTCTAAGGATATCCATTCAAAATGTTTTGGTATATTATTTTTTGTTGTCATTTTCATTGATTAAATTTTCTGTTGTTTCTGTGGTTTGTTCTTTGACTCACAAAATCTTTAGGATTGAGTTATTTAGTTTCTAATTAAATTTTAATCCTTTCTTCAAAAGTCACTTATTAAATATAATTTTATTTTGTTGTGGTCAATAAAAATATGTTCAATATTTCTGCTTTTGTTTGTAAGGTTTTTAAGGTAGTTATATTTGCTAGAATTATGTTATGTTATAATAAACTAGAATTGCTAAATGCCCCTTTTTTTATTTAACAAATGACTTCAGTTTACAGAGGTTATATCACTAGGTGCTATTATGTTTACTTGAAAAGCCCAGGAGGTTATTATCCTCTCTTTTGCTGAACTTTGGTCCAGGAAAAACAATTCATTATTTACCTCAACTTAAAGCAACCAGGAACTGGAATACTGGAAAAGATTAAATTCTTTCTTAAATCTGAGCCATTTTTCGTGGTCTGAAAGCTACAGAGAATATTATGTTCTCTAAAATGATTATAGAATTTTTAGTTTTGCAAATCTTGGGTATATCCTCAGGTGAAGTATGGAAACCATTTGCTCATTTTCTGAGTCTAGACAAGACTGAAGTCCTGCTTTACACAAAGACAGAAGAAGCATTAATTGTGAGGTCAAGCTACAAGAGCAATGGGCCAAACAGGAGCTATCTTTCTGTATATTTAAAAGACCTGGAAGTGGCACAAGTAGTAAATGTGACCAAGATGTCCTCGGAAGTTACGAACTTTAAAATAAACCTACTGACAAAGAGAGCAGGTGAGACAAGTTTAATCATTCAACTATGGGATTCTGTAGGTGGGCAAGATAAACTCATTGAAGAGATAAATGATATTCAAATCAAGGTGATCTTCAAACCGAAAACTGAGACTCTCTTACAGCTGCCTTTGCATTTTGACAGCTATGCCCTAATGATGGTTTTACCAACGATACTGCTTAATAAATGTGCATTTGGCTGCAAGATTGAAGTGGAGACACTCCAGATTGCATGGAAGAAACCTTTGCCAATACTTCTTGGTGGAGCTATACAATTTTTTGTCATGCCATTCTGTGGATTTATTTTTACCAGGATTTTGGCATTATCTCAGGCTCTCTCTTTCGGATTTGTCATGACTTGTACTTGTCCTGGAGGAGGTGGAGGCTATCTCTTTGCCCTGCTTCTGGAAGGTGATATCACTTTGGCCATTGTGATGACTTGTGCTTCAACATTATTAGCACTGATAATGATGCCTCTAAATTCATTTATTTATAGTAGAATGTTGGGGCTGCATGGTTCACTTCATATTCCTGTTTCTAAAATAGTGACAACCCTCCTTTTCATAGTTATACCGATATCAGTAGGCATAATCATTAAGCGGAAAGTACCTCAATGGGCAAGCTACCTAGAAAAAATAATTAAACCTTTTAGTTTTGTGTTAATGTCTATAGGGATATATTTGAGCTTCAGGATGGGATTAATGTTTATAGAAACAATTAACTTGGAGGTATTTTTCCTGGGACTATTAATTCCTGCTTTGGGTTTGTTGTTTGGATACTCTTTTTCTAAAATGTTTATGTTGCCCCTTCCAGTTTGCAAAACGGTTGCTATTGAAGGTGGGGCATTAAATAGTTTCTTAGCACTGGCCATTATTCAGCTCTCTTTTCCACAACACAAGGCAGATTTGGCATCAGTTGCTCCTTTTACAATAGCCATGTGTTCTGGCTGTGAAATGTTGTTTATGATTCTATTATACAAAGCTAAGAAAATTACTGTTCTCAATGTAGAAGATGAACAACTAAAATCTTTTGTCTAATAAATTCTTACAATCATTTGACAAGCATTTATTGAGCACCTGCCATGTATTAGTCTCTGAAGGAAATAAAAATTAATATCAGAAACGGTCTCAGCCTTTGAGAATCTATCAGTCTAGTTAAGAGATAAGAGAAAAAGATAAGTAACACTACAAGACCTAAATGAGAAATGTCCAATACCTAAAACAGTGAATAAGGCTAAGAAAAATCAGAGGACTCTATAGGAATTCAGAGGCAGAACAGTCACTTCCAGCTAAGTTTACCAAAAATCAAATCAAAAGAAAAGAAACCAAAACAAACAAACAAAAGAAAAGCTGCAGTGGCATGGTAAGTAACTTAGTAATAAATGACTGACCTTGTGATAAAACAGTAGATGATCCAGTTGAATACCAGTCTGGGTAGTAGCTTTTCTTCCAGCTGGGATGGTCTTGAAAGGATAGACAGAAAGATGGGGTTTGAGCTGGAACCTTTTGATTCTCATCTCCATCAAAAGAAAGGATATTTTAAAAAATTTTGTATTAGTGAATCTTTTATCCTCTCATATTACCCTGTCCCTACTATGTAAACATTTATATAGCCCTTTAAAATGTGTAAGGTACTTTACAAGTATTATTTCATTTTATCCTCATAACAGCCCTGGGTGTAGGTGCTGTTATTATTTTCATTTTAGAGAAAACTGAGGCAGACGAGGTTGAGAGGCTTGCGCAAGATCATCCAGTCAAGTGTCTAAGGCCAGATCTGAATTTAGGTCTTCCTGACTCCAGTTCCAGCACTATACCCACTGCGCCACATGCTTACCAAATACAATGACATCTACCTTGAATCTTTTGCCTCCCAATTGTCCCTTTTCCTACCTTTCTTATATCTATAAATAGTGCTGACTATTCTCTTTATCATCTAGGCTTGCAGTCTTGACATTATTCTTGACTCTTCCTTCTCCCTTACTATTCCCATATTCAATCTATCTACAAATTCTGTAGATTTTAGTAATGTGACATTTCTCATGGTCATCTTTTACTTTTGATTTCCATGGTCATCACCACTCTGCTTTGTGCTGTCATTAACCCTCATCTGGCTACAAGTCAACAGCCTCCTACACATTTCTGCCATGTTAATCTTGCCAAGTTATGGTATATGATCGTCTTGGATTCCTTCTTGAAAACCTTCATTGGCTCCTCACTGCTTATCAAATAGAACCCTAAATACTTAGTCTAGCATTCAAGACTCTAAGAACCTTCCCATCTAGCTGTGTCTCCTTATTTTAATCCAAATTAAATTACTGTCTTACTCTGGGCTTTTGGGTCTCCACGTCTTTTTGCTGCTATCCTCTTTGCTTTAGAAGGTATAATGACCTCAATATTTCTGTTAAAATTCTATCCATCCCTTAAAGCCCAAATCAAATCCCACCTCATCCATTAAGCCATTCATCTTCCTCAGTATTCCAGCAACACTTTGTTTCTATTTTTCCTATGGAATTTAATGTAGTGGATAGTGTTGGAGTCAGAAATACCTGGGTTCAAATCTGTAGTTGTTGAATGAATGAATGAACAGCACTGTTGTCATATATGAGTAAAAAAACAGGATAGGGTCCATATTAAAGAATTTAATTTTCTGTAGAACAGACTCTGAAATTTTAGTGGGAGTAGTTCCCATCTATTTTCAGCTGTCTAGTTTCTTTCAAAGCACGTGGCTCTCAGTGTACGCTCATGCTTAAACCAATTCATATATTTAGTCATAGCAAAAATGTTACCATTGAGTCTCTGCTGACTATTAAAATTTCAATCTGACAATTAGGGATGGTGTCAAGAACTTACTGATAGTTACTGCTAACATCTTTTGCTATCTTACCCATAGAATTACGTGATTTTATTCCTAGCTTTCTTGTCACATGACAAAAGAATCAAACACAACTATGGTTCCCATCTCATGAAACCATGGAACAGATATTACATTATGTGCCCTACTTTAACTCAGTCAGTCAATAAACATTTATTAAGTGCCTCCTGTGAGCCAGGCCTTGTACTAAGTGAAGGGGATACAAAGAAATGTAAAAGACAGTCCCTACTCTCAAGAACCTCACAATCTAATCAGGGAAACAACATTTAAACAATTATATACAAAAAAGCTATGTACAGTTGAAATAATCAACAGAAGAGAGGCACTAGGAATAAAGGGTATTGGGTAAGGCTTCCTGTAGAAAGTGGAATTTTATCTGGAACTTGAAGGAAGAGAAGCAAAGAGGTAGAGATGAGGAGGGAGACCATTCCAGACATAGGAGACAGTCAATGAGAATACCTAGAATCATCAGATGTTGGGTCTTGCTTGAGGAACAACAAGGAAGTCACTAGATCTCAGAGTATGTGGGTGGGGAAGTGCTTAAGGTATAAAATGACTGGAAAAGGAAGGAGGGCAGGTTATGAAGGAATTTGAATGCCAAACAGAAGATTTTATATTTGATCTTGGAGGGGATGGAAGGCCACTAGACTTTACTGAGTAAGGAGGGTGACACAATCAATGAGTCAGTCAATAAGCATTTATTAAGCACCTTCTATGTGCCAGGCACTGTGCATTGGGGATACAAAAAAAAAAGGGAAAATACAGTTCCCAGCCTCAAGAAGCTTATACTCCACTGGGGGAGTCTGTACTTTAGGAAGATCACTTTGACAGCTCAATGGCAGATGGACTGAAGTGGGAAGAGACTTTTAGTAGGCAGACAAACAAGCAGGCTATAGCCATAGTCCAGTTGTGAGATGATGAGGACATATATCAGGGAGATTTATACCAGTGTCAAAGTAGTGACAGGGCCATATTCCAGAGATGCTGTGAAGGTAAAGTCAACAGGCTTTGGCAACAAATTGCATATTGGAGGTGAGGGTGAATGAGAAGTTGAGGATGACATACCTAGTTTTTGTGCCTGAGTGACTGAGAGGATGGTGGTATCTTCAACAGTAACAGAGAAGGTAGGAAGAGAGAATGGTTTTGGGGAAAAGAAATAATGAATTCATTTTTGGACATATTAACTTTAAGATGTCCACAGGATATCCAATTCAAGATGTCTAACAGGCAGAGATATAAGATACTAGACTTGAGGTCAGAAGAGATGTTAGGTAGGGCTAGACAAGTAAATCTGAGAGTCATCTGCATAGAGGTGATAATTGAATCCATAGCAGTTAGTGAGATCACCAAGAGTAGTATAGAGGGAGAAGAGAAGAGGACATAGGACAAAGACCTAGGGCTCATCCATATTTAGTGGACATGACCTGGAGGAAGATCCAGCAAAAGAGACTGAGAAGAACTGATCAGACAGGTTAGGAGGAGAATCAGGAGAGAGTAGTATCATGAAAACCTAGATAGAGTATCAAGAAGAAGTGAGTGATCATTAGTGCCAGAAAGGATGAAGACTGAAAAAAGGCCATTATGTTGCAGGCCCAAACTCCCTTGCTTTCTCATACATTCTCCAAGGTCAGTTAAATTCCTTGAGGCAGGAAAGCTGGATTTTTAAACTTAACCCATTACACACCAGTTGAACTCTGAACTAAGTTCAGAGACAAAGAACCATGACTTGGCAGTTACAGAGCAAAAATCAACTACAGTTATCCCTTCCACATTTCAACTTTCCCCATCATGGTTTCTATATATCATGGATCAGCATAAGAAATTAAATGAGAATTTGGGGGGATTTTTGTGGAAGCTGTAGATGACATTTGCAGACTAGCAGATGACAACAGAAAAAGTATAAAGACTCAGAAATGCATAAAATATATGTATAGTATTATATAATATGAACATATTTTATCTTTTAAGATCATAATTCAGACTTCTCTGGTATGAAGAAAGGGCCAAAAAATTTTATGCGAATTTTTCAGCCTGAGGGGACACCATGCCTATAACCATTGTGATGTAGAAGGGATAACTATACTTGTAAATTGGATCAATAAGAAAATGACAGTGTCAGTCTTAATCTTTTCAGAACTGTCTTCAAACTCTCATCTGTAAAAATAATTAAACCACTTTAGAAATCTCAAGGACAATCCTGGGGAAATACATGCACATTTTGGTTTAAATTAGATTTTCTTTTACATACAGTATTATATAAAGATGAAGTGTGGTGTAGTAGAAATGATGAGGTTGGGATCTGGGCCCCAGAAAGGAAAAACCCTGGACTTTCCCACATGGCCAAATCTCTGGTGTTCACCTGAGACTATAATCCCATCAACTGCTCTTTCATTGTGGACCTCCCTATGGCCCCAGGCCATTTCTCCATTCTCCCTTGGCCATGTGGTCCAGGTCCCTGGAATTCTATTACCTCATAGACTATTTGCCCACTCCTAGATCCCTCCCATAGTCTTTCTTTATATAAGGTCCAATTTGTCTCCATTAAGATGCTTACATTCTTATAATCTAGGCACTGCCAGGATTCTTATAATCTAGCCACTGTCTAGATTCTTATAATCTAGCCACTGCTGGGATTCTTATAATCTAGCCACTGCCTAGATTCTTAAAACCTAGCCACTGCTAAGATTCTTAATCTAGCCACTGCTTACCCATGTTCAGACTCTTTAAGAGTCTGCCCAAAATGAGGGATGTTCTAATAAACCTTGTCTTTGGCTGAAAGAAGGCTTGGGTTGAATTCTTTTGACCAGGACCGGAGTGTTGTGATTTTGGGGTCTCAGGACCCCTGAACCCCTAAACCACATCATTTTGGTGGCCTGTATGAGGAAACTGCTTAACCCCAAGTTCTTCTCCAGCCAAGACTGGAAGGTATGTAAGCCTCCCCCTTCTCCTTTCTTGCTCTGCAGTTGGGGTTGCTCTCCAAGCACTAAGGCTTGGAGGTGCTTTTCTGACAGACAGTTATGAGGCTGTCTCACACTCACCCTGACACTCTCAGGCTCTCAGTCCACTGGGTAGGTTCAAGGCCATGGATCTGAGTACACCTTCCACAGCATAGAGGACAAGGATGGATGCCCTATCCGGAAGTGTATGCTTAATTCCCTCAAGTTCCGGAATTGAGGAAAACTGCAGTTGCTTTTTGGTTCCCTGAGGCTTACTTCCTTCCTTCCCTCTACACCCCTGAATTCTCCTTCATGGAGATTACAGGGGAAAGTTAGAACAGCTAAAAATATCTTGGTAGATTCTGGAGGTTTTGTAATTGATCATTAGGGAGTTTTGAAACACTTTGATTTCACCCTCCCCCACTTGGGAAAGGAAGGAGGGAGGAGGGGCAGCAGCTATGGTGTGGTCCCCCCTGTCAATGGCCTTGGGCCCTAGGGTAACCTTTGCCTGGAAGCATCACCCAGGTTCAGCACATCCTGCTCAAGGTAAAGAAGTTGGTCTCTGAACTTGGGTAAGCATGCTCTTTTAAATTTGTAGTTTTAACTGCTAACTATGAGATGTTGATTCTTTGTGTAAAATAATTTGGAAGTGCATTTAACAAAACTGAAGTCACTTGATTGGTAATGGGTTTGTTTCAAGTTTCAAACTGGTGAACTTTCTGTATCAGTTATGTCAAGCAACTTTTCATAATCTGGTTACCGCTAAAATAATTTGACTATTGTTGGTTAGTTGTTTAATGTGTAAACTAGACAAAAAGCTTGTTTGGGTTATATATGGGCTTGCTGAGAATTTGCAAGTGTATAGCAATTTCTAATGATTGACTTTTTACATTAGGATAAATTTAAGTTTGAGATGTAAATCCTGGAAAAGTTTTTTTCTAAGTTGTGATTAGTAAAACTTGCTGTTTGAGGTAAAAGCTCATAGGATTTTATTCTGAGTTGTCTGATGGGTCATAATCCATCAATAATCAATAATCCACCATTTGTGAGAAATGCCACAAGTTACTCAGAGAAGGTGATACTGGTGGGAAGTCAGCATTGGGAAAAGCTGAGAGGACAATTTTAGCTTCAGTCTAAGATGGGATCCTCCTGGCTCAGTTTCCCCATTATGTTCCTTTGAAAGGGAATGTTATCCACCTGGCTATTCCTGAGTCTAGCTATGAGGTGGATTTGATAGTGCATGGTTGGAAAACTGAATTATCTGAATCCAAACAGAGCTAAGGATGTTGGGCCCTAAATTTAGTCCCTGATTTACATGTGGGCCCTGCAGCTTTTTTCTGTCAGATTTATGTCTTCCAGACTATGGGCCATTCACCTACAGTTGGTAGCAAATAGCGAGTACCAGCCAGTGTCCCCACATCATTCCCTGGATGCAGCCTGTGCTCAGTTCCAGTCAACCTCCTCTTTGGGACCTCCTTGAGGCAAGGACAGCTCTATGTCCCTTGCCAGCAGGAAGCAGTTTCAGAAGCCAAGACCTTTGCCCCTTACTCCAAAAGAATTTGGGTCCCATTTGTTTGAGGGGGGAATGATGGGGTTGGGATCTGGGCCCCAGAAAGGAAAAACCCTGGACTTTCCCACATGGCCAAATCTCTGGCGTCCACCTGAGGCTATAATCCCATCAACTGGTCTTTCATTGTGGACTTCCCTATGGCCCCAGGCCATTTCTCCATTCTCCCTTGGCTATGTGGTCCAGGTCCCTGGAATTCTATTACCTCATAGACTACTTGCCCACTCCTAGATCCCTTCCCATAGTCTTTCTGTATATAAGGTACATCTTGTCTCCATTAAGATGCTTAGATTCTTATAATCTAGCCGCTGCAGACATTCTTAAAATCTAGCCACTGCTGACATTCTTACAATCTAGCCACTGCTTACCCATGTTCAGACTCCTTAAGAGTCTGCCCAAAATGATGGATGTTCTAATAAACCTTGTCTTTGGCTGAAAGAAGGCTTGGGTTGAATTCTTTTGGACAGGCCCCACATGCTGTGATTTTGGGGTCCTGGGGCCCCTGAATCCCTAAACCTCATCAGAAATAGTGCTGACCTTGAGGTCATAACAGAGTATGGTAGGGTTCAAATTTTGCCTGATACTCAATGCCTGTGTGACCATAACCTCCAATGTGTATTCACTACAGATGATGAATGAATTATACCCAGAATTGAATAGAAGGAGAAAGGGCTGGAATGAGTTTCAGAAACTACACAGCACTTTCAATAATGCTATGATGCTCCCTGTCACAAAAGTGCATTTGTTTAATACTAATACATTCCCAGTAATTCTGTATCATTATGAATCATTCAACACCACAATTCCATAAAAACCAAAATTGTAGGTGACCTTAAAGGAAATAAATAGAAAAACATAAGGGGTTTGTGAGTAGGCTAAATACGATCAATGATGATTTGGTCTCCAAAAGTTGTATAAAATACATCAAGTACGCATATGACTTAAAGTAGGTTATGTGGTACACATCAATGTATTTGAAATCAGGGGACTTGAATTTGAATCCCTGGCTTTTCCATTTACTACCCCTGTGACACTGGGCAGGTAAATTAGCTTAATTTTCTTCTGAAAAATGTTAGTCTTGGGCTAGATCACCTCTAATATCCCTTGCAGCTATAAATTTATGGCCCCATGAAAAAAGGAGGTAGACAAATCATGCAACAAATAGATCAAAAGTCCAAAAGCCAACACCAATATCTACAAAATTTAAAAAAGATCTAAAAGGACCATTGTGTGTTGGGAGGATTTTCTGTGGGTGACTTACAGAAAGATAGGTAGGGGAAAGCAGATAGAATGAGAAGGCCCCCATGAATGGTAATCCATACTAGTAAAAGGAATATCAGCAGAATTAGAACAGAGTTTATAAGGATGAAGCAATGGACAACACACTGGGAGACTTTATTTAAAGAAAAACAACACAAAGCAAAGGCTCATTTGCTACTGTCTCATAGGGTCCTGTTTAAATCTAAAGCTTAGGGCATCAGGCTTTAGAAAAGTAAAGACGAGGTACTACATCTCATTGACTCCAGGAACAGATTTCATTTCCAGCATGCAGGTATAACTAATGACAATGCTGAATTTAGATGCTTTTTTTTTTAAAAAAAAAAAGCAAATTCTGGAAGGCAATCACTGGATGGGAGTAAAAGCATTGTTCATAAAAATAAAAATTTCCTAGGTCAGTTATTACTGCTACTAGCTTATACCTTAAGCTACTAAAGCTTAAAACTAAGACTTTCGGGACACCGTGTATTTGTACAGCACTTTTAACCATCTGGCTCATCTTTTTGGCCAGAAGACCAAATGGGGTTATCAATGAAGAGCAACAGTAAGTGGATCAAGCAGATGAAAGTAACCTTTGAAGTAACACCAGTTCCACTTTTTTGCTGCACGACACAAAAGGTCCCTCAAATACAGCTCTGGTAATTTTATTGATCAGTTATTCACAAGCCTAAGTTGAGCAAATAACTTCTCTCAACTTGTTTTTGTGTTTTATTTGCATTGCCTATCATACCACTATAAATGGCTGCTGAATGTATGATTCATCTAAATTTTAGGGTTAATGGAGAGTATTGAGAATAATAATATTAACCTTTATATTGTGGTTTAAGGTTTGTAAAAGTCTTTTAAAATATGATCTCATTTTGGCCTCACAATAACCCTGGGAAGTAGGTGCTATTGCTATCTGCATTCCACGGATGAGGAAACTGAGGCAGCGGGCAGTGAAGGGACTTGCCCAGGGTCACACAGCTAGTAAGTAAATGTCAGGTGGTTTTGAACCGGGTGTTCAGTGAAGGAAGAGCAAGAGGGATATATGGGAGAAAGTAACGGAAGGAGGGAACAGATTAAGGTCGGCCAAAGGAGGAATGCAGAAAGGAAAGAAAGGGAGGAGACGGCCCTGGAGGATGCACAACTGCGGAGGCCGAGCGGGGGGAGGCCGGGCAGGGGAAGCTGCTCGCCCCCCGGGCTCTTCAGGCCGCGCCGCCCGCCCTCAAGGAAGCTCCCCGCGCCTCGGGCCCCTGAGGGCCTCCGGCACTGTCCAGGAGGAAGGCGGGACTTCCTGTCCCAAAGATGAACGGTTTCCGATCCGGAAGAACGGACTCTAACGGCATCAGAGAGATTCGGCCGGGAGCTTGAGACTGGTAGGTGAGATTCGGGGTTGTCTTCCCCACCCCCTCCCCCCCCAGCCCCCAGGCTTTCCCTTTCCCCCCCCAACTCCACCTCTTGTGGCGCGAGGACCCTCTTGCTTTCTCTTTCCCCTCCCCCACTTCTAGCCCACAGGGGGGGCGGGGGGAAAGCCGGCGGTGGCGGCCTAATTCTGGCGCCTGCGCACTGGGGCCGTGGTCGCCCCTCCGGACTGTGAAGACCGCGGAGGAGGGCGTGGCGTCCGGACGGAGGGGGGCGGGGCCGCGGGAGGGGGAGTGAAATGGAGGCCCCCCGGGAGCGCTGCGGGGGTGGGAGGGTGTGGGTGTGTGGGTAGGTCCGCATTAAATCCGTTCAGCGCTTTGACCCCACCCCGCCCCGCCTCTGTCTTCTCCTTCCTACCCTGCACCTCCTGGACATCCTGTGGAAAGAGCTCCGCACTTAGCACCTTAGGTTAACTTCTTGATCTGCAACTTTTTTTTTTTTATTCTGTGTGACCTTAGACAACCCTCTTAATCTCCCTGGGCCTCAGTTTCCTGAAGTGCTTAAATTGACCTTAAGGTTTTGTCTTTGTATTTCCTGTTCTTTGCATACAGTAAGCACTAAATAAATGCTTGTTGAATTATTGAATCTTGTGTCTTAATTGAGAAAGCCGTTTCATTCATTTCACGATATTTATTGGGCATGTCACCGGGCTGAGGGCAGTGGCCTATGGCAACGGGGATAATGAGGGGGAGACCTAGGGACAGCAGCAGAATCCTGATTCCTCCACTTACTACCTGTATACTCTTCATTGGTGGTGAATTCACCCTTTTAATTTTTTATACTGGTAATTTGGTTTTTTCTTTTTTTAAATAAAATTAACCAAAGGTTTTTTTATTTTATTGTTTTTTTAAAAGCAGCTCTTAGTTTTGTTTAATATTTTTCCTAATTTCAATTTTATTAATCTCTCCTTTGATTTTCAGAATTTCTAGTTTGGTATTTAATTGAAGGTTTTAAATTTGTTCTTTTTCTAGCCTTTTTAGTTGCATAATTCTTTGATCTCCTGTTTCTCTATTTTATACATGTAAGCATATAAAATTTCCCCTAAGAACTGCTTTGGTTGCATCCCATAAGTTTTGGTGTGTTGTCTCATTATTGTCATTCTCTTGGATGAAGTTATTAATTGTTTCTGTGATTTGTTGTTTGGCCTCATTCTGTAGGATTAGATTATTTAGTTTCCAATTAATTTTTAATCTCTCTTTCCATGGCCCTTTATTACATGTAATTTTTATTGCATCATGATCTGAGAAGGATGCACTTACTATTTCTGCCTTTCTGCATTGGTTTGTGACGTTTTTATGCCCTAAAATATGGTCAGTTTTTGTGTAGATGCCATGTACTGATGAGAAAAAGGTTTATTCCTTTCTGTCCCCATTCAGTTTTCTTCAGAGGTCTATCTATTAGGGTAGTTGGAGAGAAAAAAAATTATATGTATGTATGTATAGATAGATAGATAGATAGATAGATAGATTGACAGACTAACTTTTCTAAAAGTCTATTCACTTCCTTAACTTCTTATTTATGTTGTGGTTTATCTAGTTTTGAGAGGAGGAAGTTGAGGTCCCCCACTAGTATAGTTTTGTTGTCTAATGCTGCCACTGGGTGCATATATGTTTAGTAATGATATCACTTCATTGTCTATGGTAACTTTTAGCAGAATGTAGTTTCCTTTCTTATCTCTTTTAATGAGATCTCTTTTTGCTTTTGCTTTGTCTGAGATCAGGATTGCTACCCCTACTTTTTTTTACTTAAGCTAAAGCATAATATATTCTACTCTAGCCTTTTACCTCTATTCTGTGTATATCTTTCTGTTTCAAATGTGTTTCTTGTAAACAATATATTGTGGGATTATAGTTTTTAATCCACGCTGCTATCCATTTCCATTTTATGGGAGAGTTCATCCCATTCGCATTCACAGTTATGATTACTATGTCTTTCTCTCTATCCTATTTTTCCCTGTTTATGTTTTTCTCCTTTTGCTCTTTCCTTCCTCACTAGTGTTTTGCTTCTGACCACTTCTCCCTCAATCTGCCCTCCCTTCTATCAGCCCCTTCCCTTTTCTTCCCCTTTTCCCATCTTACTTCTCTCCCTTCTATCCATTTCCTTCCTTTTCTTTTTTTCTTATTAATTTATTTATTTATAGTTTTCAACATTCACTTCCACAAGATTTTGAGTTCCAGATTTTCTCCCCATCTTCTCCTTTCCTCCACCCCAAGATGGCATGCATTCTGAATACCACTTCCCCTAATTTGCCCTCACTTCTGTCTCCCACCCCCTTCTCTTATCTTCTTCCCCTTCTGTTTTCCTGTAGGGCAGGATAGATTTCTATACCCCATTGCCTGTATATCTTGTTTCCCAGTTGCATGTGAAAACAATTTTTAACATTTGTTTTTAAAACTTTGGGTTCCAAATTTTCTCCTTTCTTCCCTCCCCACCCACCCTCATTGAGAAGGCAAGCAACTCGATGCAGGTTATACATGTGTAGTCACGCAAAACACTTCCATAGTAGTCATGTTGTGAAAAACTATATTTCCCTTCATCTTATCCCGCCATCCATTTATTTTATTCTCTCTTTTGACTCTGTCACTCCTCAGAAGTGTTTGCTTCTGATTATCCCCTCCCTCAATCTGCCCTCCCCCTATCATCGCCCTGATCTCTTATCCCCTTCCTCCATTTTCTTGTAGAGTAAGATAGATTTCCATACCAAATTGAGTGTGTATGTTATTCCCTCCTTAAGCCAAATTCGATGAGAATAAGATTCACTCATTCCCTCTCACCTTTCCCCATTTCCCTTCCACTGTAAAAGCCTTTCTTGTCTGTTTTATGTGAGATAATTTACCCCATTCTACCTCTCCCTTTCTCCTCCCAGTATAATTCTCTTTCACCCTTTAGTTTTATTCTCCAAATATCACTCCTTCATCTTCAGCTCACCCTGTGCCATCTATCTATCAATCTGCCTGTCTGTCTCTCTGTCAATCTATATCTATACATACTTATAATTTTTTTTCCCTCCAACTACCCTAATACTGACAAAGGTCTCATGAGTTACAAATATCATCTTTCCATGCACATTTCCTTCCTCTTCTTTCCCCTTTTCCCTCCTACTTCCTATAGGGTAAGTTAGATTTCTATATCTGAGTGTGTATATTATTTCCTCTTTGAGCCAAATCTAGTGAGAGTAAAATTCAAACAATGCTCATCTCCCTCCCTTTTTTCCTTCTACTGTAATAGTTATTTGCACCTCTTCATGTGATGTAATTTACCTCTTCTGTCTCCTCCTTTCCTCTTCTCCATGTACAATCCCTTTTTTTCACCTCTTAATTAGATTTTTTTTTTTTATCATCACATCAAAGTCAACTTATACCCATGCCCTGCCCTCTATGTATACCCTTCCAAATGTTGTAATAAAGATGTAGGGATGTAAACACTTTAATCTTATTAAACATTATGGCTTTTTTTCCTTTCCTGTTTGCCTTCTTATGCTTCTCTTGAATCTTGTATTTGAAGATTGAATTTTCTGTTCAGCTCAGTTTTTTTCATCAAGAAAGTTTGGAAGTCCCTTATTTCATTGAACGTCCATCTCCTCCCCTGAACGATTATGCTCAATTTTGCTGGATAGTTGGTTCTTGATTGTAATGCAAGGTCCTTTGCCTTCTGAAATATCATATTCCAAGCCCTCTGATCCATTATGTAGAAGCTGCTAGGTCCTGAGTAGTCCTGACTGGTTTAAATGAAATGTTTAAATTGTTTTTCTGGCTACTTGCAGTATTTTCACCTTGAACTAATAATTTTGGAATTTGGTTACAATATTCCTTGGAGTCTTCATTTTGGGATCTCTTTCAGGAGGTGATTTGTGGATTCTTTTATTTTGCATTTTATTTTATTTATTTATTTTTGGTGAGGCAGTTGGAGTTAGGTGACTTACCTAGGGTCACACAGTGTTATGTTTCTGATGCTGGATTTGAACTGAGGACCTTCAGGCCCCAGGGTCAGCGCTGTATCCACTGAGCCACCTAAGTTTCCTACCCCTACCCCCCCCAGTGGATTCTTTTTTCAATGAGTATTTTATCCTCTGGTTCTAGGACCTCAGAGCAGTTTTCCTTGATAATTTCTTGAAAGATGCTGTCCGTGCTCTTTTTTTTGATCATATCTTTCAGGTAGACCAATGATTCTTACATTGTCTCTCTTGGATCTGTTTTCCAGGTCAATTGTTTTTTCAATGAGGTATTTTACATTTTCTTTTCTTGTTTTTCTTTTTGGTTATTCCAAATATTTTAATGAGTTCTCTGCAAGGCATTTAAAACACCAGTTTTTGAGGATAAACTGATAAACCTATAGAATTTAGGGAGCCACAGCTTGATTTGGGGCAGGTTCTGAGAGTCTACTGTTTTCTGATTAGCCTTGTGCTGCTCTATAATCTTGTATTTCCCTTTTTCTGTGTCAAAAATCTCTCCTTCTTGGTGTCTAAGTTTACAGAGTCTCTTCTTCTTAAAGTAACCTTCAATAAGATGATTTGGAATTTTTACACCAGAAAGGTTAACCCTGGTAGAAGTGGCAGTGACAAATTTCTGATGGGTCTTTTTCAAAAGAACACAGTTGATGGCCACAGGTCCAGTCACCAGTAGCAAGCCACTAGCTAGTTGCTTCAGGGAAACCACTCCCTTGCCCCTGTGGCAGCCATTGAGCATGATCAGAACCATGCCTGGGGTGATGCTAGCTTGAAGTTTCCTCATGTGCTGGCTGATGGGCTTTTTGCCATGACTCAGCAACTTTCTAGGCATATCTTCAGTAGGGTAATACCTAGGCATTTTGTGTATCTTTGCAATATGGGTTCCTCCATTCTTATCACCACCAATTGGCTTTGAGATAATAGCAGGCACTTTCTCTTTTTCTTTTCAATCTGGATTTTTGGTGCAGCGTATTTTCGCTTGTACATGGCTCGCCAGGAATATATTGCAGACCTCAGAAAGTTTCTACCAATTCCTTGGGCCAGGACTGGGTTCCAACTGCAGTGCTTTTAAGGTTTTTTCACTACCTTTTTGTTCTTTTTTTTTTTTTTCCCTTCTGACCTTCTTTTCCTTTGGCTCCTTTGGGGATTTTTTGTCTGCCATCTTGAGAGAAGGGAAAGAGAATTGGTATTTTACATTTTCTTCTATCTTTTCATTCCTTTGATTTTGTTTGACTGATTCTTGATGTCTCATAGAGTCATTAGCTTCCACTTGCCCAATTCTAATTTTTAAGGAATTGTTTTCTTCAGTTACTTTTTGTACCTCCTTTTCCATTTGGCCAGTTCTACTTTTTAAGGAGTTCTCTTCAGTGAGTTTTTGTGCTTTCCTTTTCCATTTGACCAGTTCTTCTTTTTAAGGAATTGTTTTCTTCAGTCAATTTTTGTTCTTCCTTTTCCAAGCTGTTGACTCTCTCTTGCATACCTCTCATTTCTTTTCCCAGTTTTTCTTCTATCTCTCTTATATGACTTTTAAAATTTTTCTTAAGCTCTTCTAAGAGGGCTTTTTGGGCTTAAGACCAATTCAGATTCCTCTTTGAGGTTTCAAATGTAGGCATATTGACAATGTTGTCTTCTTCTGAGTTTATGTTTTGAGCTTCCCTGTCCCCATAAAAAGAGTCTTCAGTGTTCTTTTTTGCTCTTTGCTCATTTTGTTTGCCTATTTCCTGGCTTTTAAAGTTGAGCTCTGCTTCTGGGACACAGGGGGCCCTATCCCAAGCTTCTTGTTCTGGGGGCCAGAGACCTGGGCACTGGCTTTGTGTGCTTAGGCCTCAAGTGCTGGCAGCTGGAGGCTGTAGGGTTCTGGCAGCTTATGGGTCCTAATGGTGGTATCTGGCATGTGCTGAGGCCAGGTGGGGTTTTTCTGCATTTTCCCAGGGCTACATTGAAACATGTGGAGATCTGGCCACTGGATGACACCTGCCCATCCTGGCCTGCGTGTGTAGAGGTCCAGCAGCTGGGGGATGCTTGCCTACCCAGGGTTGCCCTGGTGCACATGGTGGTTCTCTGGGCTGGAGACTGCCGGTTCCTCTGACTCTGCTAGGGCATACAGGGTGAGGGTGGGGGGTGAAGGGTAGAGGGTGGGAGGAGGTGTCCTGCTGTTGGTGTTTGCTTGCTCCACCACCCTGGGGCTCAGGATCTCCTACTGGTTTGCTGAGGTGGGGCTTGTTGCTGGCTTGCTGGGACACTTCCTGTCCTGGAATATGTTCCCCTTTTGCCCAAGTTTACCAATCCTCCAAGTTTCCTGGGTTAAAAGACTGCTTTACCTCATCTTTCGGCTGGCTCTGCTGTTCCAGGATTTTTCCTGGGGCGCTATTTTCTGTTTTTTTCAGAAGTCAATAAGGGAGAATGCTAGCGACTTATTGCTTACTCCACCATCTTGGCTCCAGAAGTCGATTCAACAGTGAAATTCTGAAGATATAAACTCAAACAATTCTTATGAGGAAGAAAAAACAGGAGTTGTTTGGAAAGACTGATGTGGGTGCACACAGGGAATTCACCAACCAACTTATTTATTAAAAAATATATATGCAGAAGATGGAAGCAAGGGCAGGTAATAGAGGATTGTTACAGAATTATAGAGTATTACTGTAAGAATAGTCTCAGAAATGCTAGATCTCAGAATGGGCTGAGGCTATCAAGGAGAACAAGAAAAAAGGTTTGAACAGAGAGAAAGTGGAATTCTTATTTTGTTTCTGTTTTCTCCACCAAGTAGAGTGACCTTTGGAAAAGACAGAACAAAAAAGATTAATGGGAAATTGGTACGCAACATAAGTAAGTAGATATTAGAGAGTCCTTAGATACCCATGCTGAATTCAGATCCCTTTGTCCAAATGAACTGTGTTTTTTGGTTCTAAAAGAAATGAAGAACATGATTGCTGAACTGATCAGTGATATTTAAAAGATGGAGAAAAAGACAAAATGACATAATTTTCAAAACAGGGAAGAAAATAGTCTGCAAACTCTGAAGAAGTCAGCTCAACTTATCCCGTTCTCACCCCACTTTTCATCCTTTTGCTTAAGAATGATAATTGCATCTACTCTGAGCTGAGTTCTAGGGCACATTGCCATTACTACTGTGAAGAATGTGGTTATCTTTTCCTTGTAGAATCTCTGTGATTTAAATCTAGACTGCCTAGGTGAAAACGTCCCCTGGTACCACTCCCAAAACCTTACCCATGCATGTCAATCCTGCCTCTCCTAAATTCCTTTCTAAGTCTGCCTTCCCTCACTCATTGTACCTTGTTGGAAAGCTTATTGTATTATTAACCAGCTACTTTTTATGTTAAACATCTTCCTCTGTCTTGTCTTCCTAGTATCACAGAAGCCTAGGCCCATCCAGAAAACAGCTCCTGTTCACTCTCTTGAGTTATTGGATGTACTTTCTCTTGGGTCACTTGACATACTGGACCAGGAGGAAGAGTAGATAATGCTTCTTGCTCCTTGTTGCCCCTTTGAATTGCCCTTAACTACCACCATCACTCAGCAATCTGTCCTTCATATAGAACACCATATCCAGATCCTGATTGCTGTTCTATACCAGCCCTAGGTCATTCTCATTTCTCAGTGAGTTGGATACCTAACTCCTTGTCTTCCTGTACTTTGGAACCATTTTATTCTTACCCATACATGTTGTTATCCCCTCAGAAACACCTTTGCTTCCTAGTTCACCAACATCTTCAACTCCTCTATCTGCACATTCCCTCTCCTTCAGACACGCACAACCATAACCGTACATACCCTTGATCTCATCATTTCCTACAAGTGTACTACTTCCACAGTCTATAACTGTGAATTTCCTTTCTTTGACCATAGGATCCTGCCACCTCTCCCTATATACCAGACTCATGCTCCTGTCTCACAGTAACCTTCGGTCATTTCACCCTTCCCTGCTTTCCTAGGCCATCACTCATTCTCAGGCTTTTCTTCCCTTCTTTAAAATATTGAATTTACCGTTCAACTGTATGCCATCTTATACTGTCTAAATCCTTGTCATCTGGTTTTACCACTATTTGTCCCTTTCCAAACCCCAGCCCTGGGTTAGTTCTACCATTGCCTTCTTTGCTTCTGTTTGAGTACTCCTAATTGCTGCTGGATAAAGTCTTAATCAGCCATGTTGAGGATCTGCTACAAATTTATCCTGCTTCAAACGCTTAACGGTTGCGTGATCCTAGGCTTAACCTCTCTTGGTCTCCATTTCATCATCTCTTAAAATGGGAATGATACTAGCAGTTATCTCACAGGTTTGTTATAAGGATTAAGTGAAATAATGTATATAAAACACTTAACAAATATTAAAGACCTCTGTTAAGGGGTGTTTTTAGTAGAGAAGAGTGAGATTTGAGAAATGTTGTGGAAGCTGAAACAACATTTGGTAACTCATTGGATAAGGTGGAGTAGGGTGAGGAGTTAAGGATAACATATCCAGGATACAAATCTGGGAAACTGGCAGAATGGTGGAGCATTTTTTAGAAATAGAGAAATCTGGAAGAGGGAGTAGATTTTTAGGTAAAGATAACATGTTCTCTTTTGGACATATTGAATCTGATATGCCTAAGAGGTATTTTTGATGTAGTAATGAAGCTCAGGGGAGGTGTATGTAGGGCTAAATATGTAGATCTGTGAGACCTCTCCATAAAGTTCCGCCCCTTTCCCCTCTTCAAGCAGAAGCTTGATATAGGTATGGAATATTTCTGTATCATATAGCTATACTATATAGCTGACCATCTGTTATGTGTATTGTAGTAGGCATTTCTTTATGAGTTAGAAAAGATGGCTGCTGAAATTCCTTCCTTTTCAAAAATTCTGTGCTTCTGTGGTTATTATTTCTCTTTCTAAATACTTTCTAAATAACTATTCCTTTAATAACATGTTCTTTACTTTTGCTGGGAATCAAAGCCAACCTCACTGACTAATTGATGGTAGACTCATCCCATTTCCCTTAGGTTCCAGGTTAAAGAAAAGCTTGAGCGAAGGGGCAGAGCCAAGACAACGTAAGTTTTTTTCAGACAGTGAATAGTCCAGTTTGGTTAAAATATAGACTATAGGGTGTAGTAAGAAAGAAGTGAAACCCAAAAGGTAGGTTGGGGCTAGAATAGATTATGAAGAGCCAAGAAATGCTACAGGATGTTTATGTTACAGTCTTGTTAGCTTTTTCTCTGCTTTAACTCTGTTTTTTTACTCCTCTGTCTATGATTTGAGTACCATTGTAACAGTTTTAGCCATATGTGATTTCTGTTCACTCCTTAGGCAGAAATACTATGCTTATTATCCTTTCATAGAAAATTACACATAAGAGAAAATTCTTACATCTTTATAAACAACCGACACTTCTACCATGCATCAGGTACCTTATAAAAACTCTTTGTAATAAAGTGACATTTAAAAATTTTTAGTTGTGTTTTTGGTTAATTATTTTTAGTTTCCTCAGGATTTCACTTTGGAGAAGTCAATAAAAAGTCAGACAGACCTCATGGAAGAGGTATCATAAATGCTTTTTCTCCCTATAACAAAGATGTTACTTTTATAAACTCCTTTTTTGCTTTTTTCATACTCGATATTATTTCCTTTTTACTTGATAGCCATTTCCTTTATTCTCTTATATTATCAGCTTGCTCTTCTTATGTTTTTTTTTTCCCTCCTTTTCTCTCATTTCTTATGCCAGAGGTGTCAAACTTGAAATCTTGCAAAAACTCTCAAGTGAGGCTGGCAACCAGATTAAAATGTAGAATGAGAAATATTTAACAAAATTGATGAAAATACAGTACAACATAGATAATGTTAATTTGTGGTTTTCCAAATCAGTATGCAGCCAGGAATCCATTTGTATTTGAGTTTGACCCCATTGATATATACTCACCCTTAGAATATTGAATCTCTATTTCCTTTCATTCCCCAATCTCTGGCACCTTTTGAGATAATATGAATATTTTCACCTATGAAATATCCTATATCTGCACTAGAATAATATTTTTAATAGGTTGGAGGAATTATTAAGGTCTCTAGAGGTACCTGATTTAAATCTAAATGAGCAGTCTGAAGGTGGAGCCAAGATGGCAGAGTAGAGGTAACGACCCTGCCAACTGGAAACTCTCTTGACATTCCCCTCCAAACAGTTTTAATACAGGATATTAAATCAAATCCTGGAGTGGCATAGCCAACAAAGAATCAGAGTGAGACATTTTTCCAGTCTAAGACAATATAGGAAGTCAGCAGGTCTGTGACACCAGGGTGGGGAAGGGCGGTAGGCCCAGAGTGCACATGGTGGTAGCACCAGTGGTGGGCCTTGGAGGCAGTGACTACTGTCCAGAGTTCTCAGCCTAGAGACAGTAAGGGGATCAGACAACAGGTCAGAAAGAGATTACAGGAACTTTTTGCTAGCATTGGGCATAAGACTTGGTGCTCTTTGGCAACTTCATTGCCCATATGCAGTTCTGGATCACAATTCCAGGGCAGAGAGCAGTGTTAGTGCTTGTGGCTTCAGGGGAGCAGGGACCCTGGTCCCAGTTTTAGGGCCCTGAGTGTGCTAGTGCTTCTGGCTGTAGGAGTACAGGGGTGCAACTTTAACATAAAGTTCAAAGTCAAGAAATAAGCTAGAAAAAAAAAGCAAGCAACAAAAAAAGAATCTGATTATAAAAAGCTATTATAGTGACAGGGAAGATCGACACAAACTCAGAACACAACAAAGTGAAAATAGCTGCAAACAAAGCCAGTGATACAAGGAAATTATGAAATGAGAATTAACAGCTTGGTAAAAGATGCACAAAAAGTACTGAAGAAAATAACATCCCCAAAACAGGATTGGTCATTTCAAATAGTATAAGAACAAAAATTCACTGAAGAAAAGAACTCCTTAAAAAGAAGAATTGGGAAGTGGAAGTCAATGATTGTATGAGACATTCAAACACAAGACTCAAGAGAAGCATAAAAAGGTAAACAGGAAAGAGATCATAAGGGATTTAATAAGGTTAAGCTATTTACATTCCTACATGAGAACTTTATTAAGGTAGTTTGAAGGAGTCCACATAGAGGCCATGGGTGTTAGTCAATCATATTGGGATGTTCTCAAAAAAAACCTGAAGGGATGAAAATGAGGGATTCACTGGGAGAAGGGGGAAGGGAGAGAAAGAATGGAGAAAATGATCTCACATAAAAAGTCTGCACAAGCAAGAGCTTTTATAGGTGAGGGGATAATTGGGAATGGGGAATAACACTTGAACTTCACTTGCATAAGAATTGGTTGAAAGGGAAGAATTTATATACACACTCAATTGGGAATAGAAATCTATCTTACCCAACAAGGAAGTAGAGAAGGGGATGAGAGGAAGGGGAATGGTAATAAAAGAAAGGATGGATTGAAGAAGGCAGTAGTCAGAAACAAAATACACTTTTGAGGAGGGACAAGGTAAAAACAGAGAAGTATAAATAGAATAGGTTGGAGAGAAATACACAATTAGTAATCATAATTGTGTGAATGGGATGAACTCATGTATAAAATGGAAGTGAATGGCTGAATGGCTTAGAAACTATCATTGAAACATATTTGAAACGACA